GTAGTAGTAGTAGTAGTAGTAGTAGTAGTAGTAGTAGTAGTAGTAGTTACTAATAGCTTCTTGCTCCTAGTAGTAATGCCCTTTGTAGTTTTGGTGTTGCCAAAACATTGTTCACTAATTCCTTTGGAATTTAAGATTATATAAGGGATATATATATATTTGTAAAGGCATCAGCATGTGGGCGTCTCAAAACCGCCTTTCTCAAACTAACCTTGGACTAAGTCGCTAGACAGATGGTGGATGAATGACAATGGAGCAATGAATCAAGTATTCCTGATCACAAAGGCCAGCCGAAGTAAGGGCCTGTTTCTAAAGGATTCTAAAGGAGTTCTTTCTTTATCAAGTTTGTACTGCTGAACCGAATCCCTTTGAAAGGAGTGTTTGGATTGCATGCCAACTTTAATTGTGTTGGCAAAACTGATTAGATAGGGTACTGTGCACCTTTTCATTGTCTCATACTTTGCATTTGCTGCAGGCGTTACATCTTGTTGCTTTGGCAGCCCTTTGCTTGTATTCTTTGGGTTTGAAACGGCATGTAGGGGTTCTACATTCTTCAAGAATTATTGTTTTTCATTGGATCCTGCCATAACTTGACGTGTGCGATCCAACCTCATTGATTAAGTTAGGGGGCTTCCCAATGCAATATGCAAGTTGTTGCATCCGGCTCCTCAAATATTTGCCTGTATCCCAACATGTGGAAAAAGCACCTTGTCCTGGGAATGAAATGCCTTTGCACTGGATGAAAGGGGGACGTTTTTTGTGTCCGCACAGGTCCTTGTGCTCAACATCTTGTAGACCTTGCACAGCACTTTGTGGCTGAGTTTTACTCCACAGAGACAGGAGCCTATCAGTTGCAGCGAGTGTTTCGAAAAAGGTTGCGAGAATGGCTTCAATCGGGTTGCGAGTCAGCCGGGCACATACTGAGGAAGCAGCCAGTTGGTGCGAAATTTGCGTGATGCTTGTATTTGAAGTCTATTTTGCTGCAGCACGGGCTCAGGCTGTGCTTCTGATTATCGTAGCATGGGGGCCATGGACCGTGGTTCACTTCATGTAAGAACAAACTAGAGCCCGCCTAAGGCTCGACAGGCGCGCAACTATTAGACCAGTGACATCTGTTTCTGTAAGGACAAAACAAATGACATGCACTCGCACATGTTTTCAACAGACTCACGTTTTGATGCCATGCCAGAGAAAGAAAGAGGCCAAAGTGGTAACGATGTTGGATGAAAGATGACGGCACAACCGCAGCCTGATTTTTCCAGCCCAATTCCTTTGAAACCCAGGAAAGAAAGAGTTCAATACCCACGGGCTTGTCCTCACTGCGGAAAGTCCTTCCCGACCAGCACCAGGTATCATAAACACGTGTATTTCCATACAGCTGAGCGGAAGTTCAAGTGTGACTATCCTGGCTGTGAGAAGTCCTACAAAAGAAAGGTGGATTTGCTGGATCACCAGTCTGTTCACCTTGCAGTGAAGCCATTCAGATGTATAGCCAACTGTTGCAACAAGACTTTTGCGCGGAAATGCGACTTGATGAGCCATGTGAGATGCGCTCACAATGGGCTTACTTGTGAAGCATGTGGCCTCCGGTTTCGAAAGAAGGCAAAACTTCAGAAGCACTGGCAGTTGGTGCATCCCAATGTTGCTGAGGGTCAAAAAGTTCCGCAAGGGAAATGCCCATTTTGTAGCAAGACATATGCGAACCCGAGTGATTTGGAAAGACACAAAATGTCCCACCATCGACATGAGGGCTATGAGGGCCTTGAGGGCATTGTGCCGAAGAAGCACAAGTGCAATAGTTGTGGGCAGACCTTTGAGAAGTTTTTGGACATGGTACGACATCGAAAGGCAGCACACCCCAAGACATATACTTGTGACGAATGCGACTGGACTTGCAAACGGCCTGATCAGCTCAAGCATCACAAAGATACGGTACATCGCGGGATGGTGGTTCCCTGCAAACACGAAGGTTGTCATCACACTTTCATGTCAACAGCTGCGATGAAATTGCATTTCAGGGTGGCCCACTTGCAGATGAAAGAGTTCAAGTGCAGACACTGTGACAAGACCTTCGCATACAAGGGTGTCCTGCGAAAGCATATCGAGAAAGTGCATCAGTTTGTGCCAACTGCAGAGGACCTTCAAAAGTCTGCAGGGGTCTGGGCCTGAAGGCTTTGCAGGGTTTTCCATGCCAATGGCCTTGCTTGTTCAAAGCACCTTGGCCATGAGAGAAGGAAGTGCTTTCCTTTGATCGTGATTTGCACATCATTTTCAAAAGACCAGGCACCTGCGTGCCCCACGGGTTTTGCCCACAAAGTGAGACTGCTGCCCGTTTGAGGTGAACAGGTGTGGGTCAGATGCTCTGGCTGCCAGTGGGTTTTCGGATTGACGCGAAGCGTTTGGAGCTGCAGATTCAGGCAGCTGACATGAGAAGGGCTCTTATGATTGTCCACTCTGCAGACAAAAAGGGGCGAGAGTGCACTGCGGGGATTGGTGCAGAGCATGAGTCCTTTCAAGCATGCTGAGCGTTTTAATTACTGTCGACGCACTTAAAGAAATCGGCCGCTTTTAAACTTTTTGATGAATGTTGCGCAATTCCACCGCCTCAAATCGCATGCGTTCAAGCACAACACTGGTTCCCCATTTGGGCATAAGCGGTCATGAAGACCGTCTTGGGCTGTGTTCAGCCTGTTTGTTGCTGCTTGCATTCATGTCTGGCAAATGATGTACAGAACTATATATGCTGTATTTTAGGCTAGCAGATACAGGCAATCCGACCTTTGAATTGCTTAGCGCACCTCATTCTCGGCGCTTCGATTGAATTGGGAGGTCGATCGCACATGATCAACGTTTGCATCACCCCGCCTTGCTCGGTTTGCGTGACAGGGACTCGAGCTTGTGCACAGCCCTGAAACAGGTTTCATCACACGCCGGGATATCCAGGGACCACAACAGCCAGCAACGCCTCAGCGTCCTCACGCCATGTCAACGATGCCACCTCTTTGCATTGGACACAGGCAAGCACACAAATTGCGCCGCCCAGACTGTGGAAAGCGGAAAACGACACCGAAAAGAAAAGAGCCTTCCTCCTCTTCCCCCGGCCAAGGCTGTGGCGGGCTCAAGTTTAGCCCCACCCTTGGCCGTTCTAGGGGCACCAGCGACAAGCTCCAAATTTTTTGGTGGTATCTTAGGCACTCAAGGCGAGCTAGTTTGGTTGTCATCTCTTGGCCTCAGATGCTTCCGTGCTTCCTTGCACAGCGTGTTGTTGTGGGAGGAATGCTGTGCTGAGGCTACAGTACCTTTGGAACAGAGCCGCACAAACAAGTGAGAATCAGACATGCTGACATGCTTCATCAGGACGAGCAAAAGGTCGGCATAGGTATCAAAAAAATAATAAAAAGAGCATCAAAAAAAAGTAAAAACAGGATCAAAAGAACAATAAAAAGCGAATCAACAAATAAATATTCCTTGATAGGCCTCTTCTGCTGCTCTCCTGGCCTTGTGGTCTGCGGGTCCTCTGGTAATGTGGTCCCTTGGTCCTCTGGTCCACTGGTCCTTTGGTCCCCTGGTCCCTTGGTCCTTTAGTCCACTGGTCCCCTAGTCCTCCGGTCTCCTGGTCCTCTGGTCCTGTGGTCCGCTGGTCCCCTGGTATCCTAGTCCTTCTGTCTCCGAGCGCTCTGACAACGCCATGTAGGGCCTAACTTCGTGTGAACGCCGTGCTACTGCTACTGCTACCACTACTACTACTACTACTACTCCCACTCCCACTCCTACTCCTACTCCTACTCCTACTCCTCCTCCTCCTCCTGCTGCTGCTGCTGCTGCTGCTGCTACGCTGGTGCTGCTGCTGCTGCTACTGCTACTGCTACTGCTACTACTACTACCCCAACCATCCTCAGTGGGCTAGAATTTTTTTTTGATTACCTTTTATTTTTTTATTGATCCCCGTTGAATATGTTTTTTTTGATTCTATTTTTATTTCTATTTTGATCCCTTACCCCAAAAGGTCCCCTCCGGTCATCTCCGGTCCCCCCAAGATTGGGGCTTCCAACAGCAAATCAAGCACATATATATATATATATTTACAGTACATGGTTTTCGCAAACCTTTTGCTAGTTGTCTTCCTGGATGTCTGGATACTCACCAGAGGGCAAAACAGAATGCACAGCGAGTCCCTGGACCTCCGAAGTACCTGCAGCAATCGTGGAAGGTAAGACAATTTTCCTCTACTGTACAAACTGAGTTGTCCACTTCCATGCAGGGAGGGGAGTGACCTTTCCTGATGCAAACCCATGCCTTCCCACAATCCTCTCCTGGCCTTGGCCAATTGGATCCTGGGTCGACTTTGCCATGGGAGGGGTTAATCTGCTTTGGAGTGGTTTTGGAGGGCGACAAATGCGCATGTCGAGAGTTCCACAGTTTCTGGCTCTGAGCTCAAGGTGTTGCTGAAGATCCTGACCGAAGAACTTTCATGATTCTTGCGGTGAACTGACAAGGGGCGGAAATTGGCATGACCAAAGCGGAGTGGTGGCGGTCCACACAATGAGGGTTTTGCTGGTCAGGCAAACTGGCAAAGGTGGTTCTTGCTTTAGCAGGGTTGAAAAATCCGTTGGGAGTGAGAACATACAACGTACATACAGCCAGTCAAGCATCCTTGAACGAATGATCGGAAGCTAGAATCTAGACATGTCCACCAGTTAAGACAATAAAAGACAGGGAGGCACTCACCACACTTGTCAATAGAAAAGCGCTTGCTTTCTTCACTCCCATCTGATCACTGGCAGTGAGCGTTCCACAGCCACGTGGGAAGAGCAGATCACATCACCACATGTCACCGCCACTGGCCAGAAGCCGCCAACTATGAAGAAAGCGCATCTTAGCTGCAGTACAACAGTACAATATCGACCACAGCACGTGACTAACTTCACCTGTCAGCTGAAAAAGCATTCACTAATCCCCCACCACATCGTCAGGGGCGAAAGCATACAAGCACATCACCACACCATGAACCACCAACCGGAAGAGCGTACCACATCAGCGTAGGTGAACGCGAATATTCCACTTGCGTCGGCAAGCACCAGCGTAGACAGACGCTAGTTCACCAACGTGACCACTATACGGACCGTGCATCGGTTCAATGTCCGGAACAAGACAACACCGATGCTATTATGCATTGGTATATATTCTAGCAACAATGCATGATCAAGGTTGCTTGGTAGCAAACTAATTTTGTTGCTGCCCGCCGAGTGTTTGCAAACAGTCTACAGCTTCCTCCGGAACATCGCTTGACGGTGACACTCCTTTGCTCAGCAGGGTCCTTTCGGGCAACGCCGAGGGGTTAGCCCCAAACCACGTAGCGGACCCTCCTGCACATTCTCAGTTGGATTTTGCCTTTAGCGGCGAGCGGCTTTCACCCAGTGTCACCCTCAATAGCTACCATGTCGCACCCCTGAGCGCAAGTACTGATCAAAAATAAGATCGCCTCCTCAGCACCCCCAGCACTACCCCAAAATCACATGTTTTGGTGTTTCGTGGATGGCTTTTTGGGCATACATGGGGCCGCCAATCTCTGAGCTCTGAGATGAGGGCTAGCTTGCAGCCCAAGAGCAGCAGCTGACCAGCCCTGTTCCCTTCCTTGCACCGGTGAAGCGGCTTTTGCAAAACTTGGCTTCCCGCCTTGAGCGGCTCCAAGTGCCTGAGCTGCTGGAGCCTGGTGGCCTGCCAGCCTTGCAGGACGATGCGTGCTGGTTCGGTCTATAGGGCGCACAGCGGCACGGTCTGTCCACGTTGGTGGCAGCGGACGCGGGCAGCGTAAGGAGGCTGCTGGCAAAAAATAGCATGGTTGCTTCGGCCAGGAGCACTGCCCATCTCGAAGTCCAAGTTAGAGGAACGCATTGTTGGCTCCAGCGCCCGCCGGTTCCCAGTCCGAGGACGACGAGACGAGAGCGACCGGTTCCCAGCAGTTTTGGGTACGTCCGTCCTGGGCGCACCCATCGGCACTCCCGATTACACCCAATCCCACCTCCCAGCAACAACTCCCCTCATCAGCGCATCCCACACCTTGAAGACCGGCATACCGGCTGGCTTTTTTGTTGCCCAAGAATTATTGGCTGCGCATGCATCCGCCGAATTTGACGTCCCTCGTTGCACAACAGCACGACACAGCATGGCATACAAGGCATGGACAACTGCGTCGGTGCCAGCCCGAGCGCACAATGGGTTGGAGCATGGTGTGATGTTGGCTACACATATATATGTGCGAGCCACAACCCAAGCGCCAAAAATTGAGGCCTTTTCCACGCTACCGCTCATTCTTTGGTTCTCTAGATCGCTGTGCAATGTTTCGGATGCCTCTGTCAATGTTACGCATGGGTACGGGCAAAGGTGGAGGAAAAAAACAAGAGAAGAGAGAGAGAGAGAGAGAGACAAAAAACAAGAAGCGCGGGAGGGAGGGACAAGATGCGTCACACAAACACAGCAGCCTTCTTTCCTTCGCTGCCACTGCGGTCTCTTGTGCGCTTCATTTGCGGCAAACACCACCAAAAAAACAAATGTAAACAAAAAGTACATAAGGAGTTCCCCCTAATCTAACACCAAAAATTTGTATCGCGGAAAGCACTCCGTTGCTTCTCCACCGACCAGTCCCCTCCCTTTCTGCTCGTCAGGCGCCTGGTGACTGGCGGGGGTCTGTGCATACTAGCGTTCACCCCGCTCTGCGAGAAACCACGCCCACCCACAAAGCGCTGGCAAACACAAGTGTCGCGCAAGGATCTGCAAGAGGGGCACCCCCGCTGCACAACGAACAAAACTGGCAGTTATTGGCTGTTTGCCCGGCCTCACATGGCACCGCGCCGTCAAGCAAGGCTTCCAGCGACAGGCCCGAAGCTGAAGCTGGCGTGGAGGTGCGGCGGTTGGAGCCAAAACTCCCTCAGGCAAAGCGCAATGCCTGGGCATAAGCGCAAGAACACCGGCAAAAATTTTGTTGGTGCCATGGCGTGTCGCACAAAATGTGGTGGCGCACTGACCAAAATGAGGTTCGTGCACCTTGGCAGCTGCATTGTTTGTGCAGCTGCTGCTGCTGCTGCTGCTGCTGCTGCCAGTTGGCGGAGTTCATCCTGTGGTCCTCGGGGGCTGCGCACATGCAAGCGGATGTAGGGGAACCCTTGCTA